TGACTATTCTGAAACTTTAGCGCCCTGTTTACACTTAAGATCTATTTTGGGGTGATGTGGTCACTAACTGAGTATACTGAATACAGTTATAAACGGGATCCAACATTTTTTGTGCTTCAGTCACTGAAACCATGTTCAGTAGAAGTCAGAAACGCACATCACCACATTGTAAATGCTAATGCATCCTGACACATCCCGGGCAGTAGACTGCCTTCTGACCGAACATGCAATCATTCCTCCAAAACAAGTGTTTTAACTTAGCTGCAAGTTGAGTATGGCTTTAGAAAGAAAGCTATTGTCTGAGTGCAACATTCGGAAAGCCCGGAAATTTACATGCATGAGATGTGCAACTCAGATCATGTAACACACATCAGAGGTTCAGTTCACTTGAATAAAATAACAAGGGATATTCTAGTTGAAATGGATTAAAACATTTCTGAAATAAAAATTCTAATATAAAATTCTGCTATATCTGGGGGTAGTGGTGACTTTTTCTTTAGTTCTTTTTCATAACTCTCCATTTAAACTTAATTTAAACTCTCTAAAAGAAACAATTCACACATTGAAGACATTAAAGAGATCTCATTAGTGCCTTTACAACAGGTCGTCTTGACTCTTGAGAAGGTGTTCGGCTCATAAGATTATCATTTGCTGACAAGTCTTCTGTTTGTAACACCTTCCAGATACATTTCCCTTCGTATTCTGCTCAGGTTGTTCTCTAGTCTTAAGGTCTGAGTTGCTCTGTTGAGGTTGTGAGGTCACTGTGTGCCCGAGGCTGACTGACAGCTCTTCTCTGACACTGGACGATCATCTGAGAGGGGTAAGTCTCTTTCTGAGATGTGTGAAAAACCCAATTCCAGCACCTTGCAACAGTAATTACATCACAGCACCCCCGCTGAGGGTGAGAGTCTCACTCACGCTCTCCCTCTCCACCGCTGTCTCTCCCGCTTCTTCTTTTCATCCTGTCTTACAGTTTGTAGCACTGGCGAGTGCAGCGTGACTTTGGCGGCACATTCAGTCGAGTGCCACAAATCAGCAGCTGTCAATCACAAGTGTGCATTAGTTATGAACTGCAGTCACCGTTTCAGCTCAGAGATGGTTTTCATAAACAATCAATCCCTAACAGCTTTTTCGGGTTCATCATCTGACTGCAATCTTTTGTTAAAACAGCCATACTGTATATGCTCATTCTGACTTCTGTTGTCTCCATAATGATTATGTGCAGGGCTAAATTTGACGGTAGCTCATTTAAATTTTAGCTTGTGATAATGCAAAGCAGGAGTTGATTGCCAATTTCTCATGACAGCTTGATATTGTAAAGCAGGATTTGCCTGCATCTATTTTTGTTTGTATACGTGTTATTGTATTTTGTGTCTTTATGTGAGGGTGTTTCTCTTTGACCAATAGCAGATATCGTTCCCAGCCATAGTTCCTGTGCCTGAGCTTGGTGCCCTTGTGTAGAGAGATATTCTGTCATCGATAAGCGGGATATTAAAAATCTCTCCTTTTTGCTGCCAGCTACCCTGCTACATTCAAAATAATAAAGGTATTTTTGTGCTAGTCTCTCTCCACCACAAGCAACCAGAGTCTTATCTTACCACAAAAATCCTATAAAATGAGTATTTAGAAAGCTTACTGTATATAAAATGTAATCTTATAAGTCATATATATCTGTCATCTTTTCCAGTAGTAAATTAGTGTATATTGCTGTATAGCCCATACTTGCAGGTTTCATACTTTAAAAGTGGCCCTTTTCATTGTATGAAACTTGTAAAAGATGAAGAAAATTTGGTAGAGGATTTGCTTTCAAACAATTTTCAATCAGAAATTGCTAGTAAATTTAAGGTAGATAACCTTAAGACTAACATATTGATACTAACACCCAAAAAACTTTAATTTTGATTTCATGGGGACTTTAAGAATTAAACAACCCGTACTGATCTTTTTTTTTTTTTTTTTTAAACGTAGTCCAATAGTCTTTGATTTATTCACAACTTCTAAAAGTATGTTTTTTACATTGTATACACAAGTAAATCATATATATTACTCATATTTATTATATAGGTTATATTTTAAGAGAATCTGCTTATTATATCTATTTATTTTTAATTAAATGTCACCATATATGTAATTCAGTTTTTTTTTTGCATATTTTTAGGTAGAATGTAAGAATTTTTAATACAAACTTTTAATACAAACAAATTAAGTTTTAATACAAACTTTTTCCTAATGTTTGGGTAGTTTTTTTTTTATACAGCAGCAGTGAAAATATTCAGTGACATGCTGATTATGATGCAAGAATTAACATTCTTTATGTCACCTTTTATTTTATTTTCTCTCGAGCATTGGCTCTTCATGTCTTGGTGGTCCCTAGCATGTATGCCTGCGAGATGTACAGCTCAGACTCTGACTGCACAGCTCCAGCAGAGGGCGCTGTTGTCGCCACACAGGATTACGTTTTCTGTAAAGGTCAGCTTTATTAAAAAAAGAATGCTGGAAACTTTGCTAACTCTTCCTCCTTGTCTAACTTTCCTCCTCCTCTCTGGGTAGTGAGTTAGATAGACTGCGGGGGTGTTGCGGCAGCTCTATCATATTTAATGGGGAATGTCTGCTCAGCCTCACAGTACTCTGCATGATCCCTCCACCCCAACCCTGCTGCTATCCTCTCTTCCCTCTTCGCATACATCCATCTTTCTTTCGGTCTCTCATCCTCTTATTCTCTCTCGTCTTATGAGCAAATCAGATCACATGTCAGTGAAGAAAGATGCTCCTCTGGCATACATAAGAACTGTAACTTTTATATAAGGCTTCACAGTTTGCCTGCTGCAAGTTGATGATTGTGATTTAATGGGAAGATCTTTTGCACACATGCCGTGTGCGGCTGGTTCCACTCCAGTGCTCCTGAGGACACACGGGCTCATGTGTGCTACGCCAGCCAGCTACATTGCCATGGCAACATCTAATGTCTGTCATCTCGGCGGTGTCACTGTGGTGATGGGATTAGATTAGATTAGGTTATGCTGATTTCCCAGAACATAAACACACACAACACCAAAAGCTGACAGTCCGCTTCAGAGGGGTTTCTTCTGATGGCTACCTTACATGAGTCACTGACCTAAAGGGCGATCCAGCCATTTGATACAGTGCGAGATGAGATTTAAAGACATTTTTTGCTTGTTCGTTTTGAAAAAGAGAATTAAATGTATAGAATGACACCTGTGATATTTTATTTTGCTTACATTTTGAGGACGTGAAATGCTGAATACATGAAATAATGAATAAATGAATTCAAAATATGTTATTAAATATTATTAAATCATTTTAACAATTATTATTATTATCATCACATAAAAAAGTCTATCAAATATAATAAATATTAAATGATATATAAGACAAATTATCTTTAAATGTAATATTTAATGAATGCATAAAATAAAAAAATTAATACAATTAAAATATGAATGTTAAAGATATGATAATGTAACTATTATTATTATTATTCATTAATTATTATCAAATAAAAATAGTGCAAAAATAATGACACGGTTAATTTATATATACAATGTATATATATAAAGATACACAGTGGTGGCCATAACTATTAGAACACTAGTATTTTCACCAGCTACAGTTAAACAATGGTTTTAAGTCATTTATTTCTATCTTTTGCTGTAGTGTGTCAGTAGGAAATATCAGTTTACATTTCCAAACATTCATTTTGCCATTAATTGCAATAATCCAGTGAGATTTTTGTCTGACAACAGCCAGTGCTCCACACTGAGATCTGATCTCATCATAATCCAGTCTGTCTGGAATGACATGAAGAAACAGAACAAACTGAGACAGACTAAATCCAGAAGAACTGTGGCAACGTCTCCAGCATGCTAAAAGAAAAATACCTGCAAAGCTACAGTAATGTTAAGGGTTTTAGGCACTTGTGTAAAATGCTGTAAAATGAGGATGCTGTCAAAATAATGTCATAAATAGATTTTCTTTGTCAATTAACTTCTATTAACTAAATTAAATCAACAT